CCCTGACGTGCGGCCTGGCTCTAGAATTGCTAGGGGCTTCTTGGGGTAAGCGTGCGGGTTTGGGTTTGGTAGTCAGAGTGCTAATGATGTCACCCCGTGATTGAATACCGAAGTCCTTCACACCATCAGAGCCCACAAAACACCCTACACTCCCTGAGACACACGTGGGTATTGGGGAATGCCTGCAGGCAGAGCTGGCCGCAGGAACTCCGTGATGAGTTGGGCCAGGCCTGCCGCCGTACTTCAAGGTGCTCCAGCGACTAAAGGCTCATGACCTCCAGACATTAAAGCTCCCGGATGAAACAATCTGGCTCCAGCATGTAATGTTTGGTGGCTGAATGGAGCTAAAAAGTCACTTGCTGGCCACCTCAGTAGCATTCAGGTGTCGGCTGTGTTGTTTCTTACTGCATTTGTTCAGGTGATAAGACCTGTTGTGCTCACTAAATGTATTTGTAATATGATGGTTTCATTAATTAGGGTGGCAGGTAGCTAATCTGATTCACCTTTGGCTCAGATGATCCTCTTAGAACAGGTGTTTTTGGCACACCTCTTCCACTGCATTATTTGGTGGATTTTTCTGAAACTGCTGGAATTTTTTTAATTATTATTTTGCTTGGTTTTAACTTTTGTGTGTTGACAATTGAAGAAGCTTAGCGAGCCAAATCGATGGTTAATAGTTAGCACAGTCAGCCCTGTTTTAGACAAAGCTCTTAAAAACAAAACCAGACTAACCAAACAAAAAGCTGCTGGTTTTCCTGCTTTTATCACCCATCTCTGTAGGCTGAAGCTTAGCAGGTTAAGTGTTATGAAAGAGAAATTTTCGGGACAGAAGTGGGTGAAAGAAGGCATGGACTCCTGCTACGCTAATGCCAGAGAAGTTTTATTGTTGGTGACAGGATTTCGTAGCCTGGTCCCTGAATAATCTGAAATGTGGCATCTACAGTTGTGAAGCTGCCATTGACCTTTTTTTTTTTTTCTCCCCCCCATTATTTGTTTCCACTTAGGAGCTGTGAACAAAGAGTTCTTTTTGTCCAATTGTTTCAGTTGTGAAAGGAGTTTTCAGAAGGGGTAGTCAGTTTTTTTAGATGCTGTACAGTTCACAGAGATAAACAAGTGAAATAATAGACAGTAATTCTGATACAAGAACAAGCTATCTGTAACCGTTTCTTAGAATTTAAAAACAGTTTCTGAAGAAAATCTGTGTCAGCATTAGTGCTGAGTTTTTAAAAGAATATTCAGAGGCTTCGGAGTTGCTTCAGAAACTGTTGAACTCAGTAGACTGGTAAAGCAAATGAGACTTGGTGCCTTACAATGCAGACTTTTAAATTATTTCTTCAATTAAACTGTTTTGTTCTTGTCCTTTCAGATCTGCAACAAAAATGGCAGAAACGACTCCTGATGCTTCAGAGAAACTGGTCATCATCCACTCCAAAGCTCACAAAGATACCATTCTGGCTAATTTCGAAGAACAAAGGAAAAAGGATTTTCTTTGTGACATTACTCTAATAGTGGAGAACGTGCAGTTCAGAGCCCATAAAGCTTTGCTCGCTGCCAGCAGTGAATACTTCTCAATGATGTTTGTAGAGGAGGGTGAAATAGGGCAGTCAATTTACATGTTGGAGGGAATGGTTGCAGACACCTTTGGAGCACTGCTAGACTTTATCTACACCGGTTGCCTCCGTGCCAGTGAAAAAAGCACAGAACAAATTCTGGCTACTGCACAGCTGCTGAAAGTGACTGACTTGGTCTGGGCCTGTACAGACTATCAGGCCAGCCGCGGCCCAGGTAACGCGCTACCAGCTCCAGCGAACACCGTGGCCACTGTGGCCGTTACAGCAAGCGACAAGAAAAATGAAGATCCACCGAAGCGAAAACGAGGGCGACCAAGGAAAGTCAGGAGTGTCCAAGAAGAAAAACCAGCCGCAAATTCTGCTGAAGATGTGCAGCTGAGAGAGAACAACTCCATGCAAAATAAGCAAAATTTTATGAAGAAAGACACCGCAGAAGAAGAAACAGTTGTCAGCGAAGAGGCTCCAGCGAGGAAGGATGCAGAAGAACCTGAACCTGCTTGTGGCTCAGAAGCTGCTGTCGATCTGTCAGCTGAGAAGGATGAGAATTATGATCCCAAATCTGAAGGAATGCAGAGCACTCAGAGCCGTTACAGCAAACGTAGAATAAGGAGGTCAATCAAACTAAAAGATTATAAACTCCTTGGTGATGAGGATGAAAAAGGACTGGCAAAGAGAACGGATGGAAAAAGGAAACGTGCGTGCTCTGAAGCTCGCTGTAAAGACTGTGGCAAAGTGTTTAAATATAACCACTTCTTAGCTATTCATCAGCGAAGTCATACAGGTAGGCATTGTGAGACTGCTGCTTTTAGGTGAGTGTTTCGTGACTCGTTGCTGAATCCAAGCTAATTGTCGAGATGTGGGCCGGTGTCTGCAGCGGGAGCTGTAGACAAAATAGCATGCTGATCCAAGTTCTGGGGTGTCTCATGTGCTCGCTGCTTTATTCTTGTCAGCACATCTCGTAGCTCTTATGTCTTAACCATGATTGCAGTTTACTTAATTGTTTCTCTGTTTAAACATTGAATTATATGGCAGTACTTAAAGAGTGAAGTATGTCTTTTAATTCTCCTTATCTCTGCTCAAAAGTAATGTTTCAGTAGCTGCTCCATTGCAATGCATCTCACTAGCAGCTGGGACTATCTAGTGAGAATTTATGCATCTATAGATGTTCACAAGAATCATGAGACCTTATAGCACCTTCCAGTACCTGAAGGGGCTACAAGGAAGCTGGGAGGGGACGTTTTACAAGGGCCTGTAGTGACAGGACAAGGGGTAACGGGTTTAAATTGAAAGGGGGGAGGTTTAGATTGGATATCAGGAAGAAGTTCTTCCTGGAGAGGGTGGTGAGGCACTGGAACAAGTTGCCCAGAGAAGCTGTGGATGCCCCATCCCTGGAAGTGTTCAAGGCCAGGCTGGATGAGGCTTTGAGCAAACTGGTCTAGTGGAAGGTGTCCCTGCCCATGGCAGGGGGGTTGGAACTAGATGGTCTTTAAGGTCCCTTCCAACCCAAACCATTCTGTGACTCTATGATTCTGTACTTAAAAGTGTCATCTTTTGCTTTTAGGGGAGCGCCCTTTTAAGTGCAGCGAGTGTGGCAAAGGCTTTTCCCAGAAGCATTCCCTTCAAGTCCATGAGCGGATGCACACTGGAGAAAGGCCCTACACGTGCACCGTCTGCAGTAAGGCGCTGACAACAAAGCATTCCCTTCTGGAGCATATGAGCCTTCATACAGGTAAATATTTCAGGGCAAATGAGGCCTGTCACCCGCATTTGCCTTTCTGAAAAAGGTATTTCTGCTCTCTCTTGCAATGTGGGTTTATTGATTTCCTTCCGCTTGGTTTGGGTATGGCTTCTGTTTTAATAGGCTGTTTTCTTTACAGGGCAGAAGGCTTTTACGTGCGATCAGTGTGGAAAATACTTCAGCCAAAAGAGGCAGCTCAAGAGCCACTATCGAGTACACACAGGTATAACAAGTTTGGGTTGAAGAGCTGGCTTACAGTCCATGCTGATTTGTCCTCCTGAGGCTTGACTGAGGCTGAACATGCTTCCCCAGCGATGTAATCAGTCTCTGCTTCCCTGATGGTGGTGTCTGCTTCCCCTGTGGTGTCTTGGTACCACAATGAATAGGGTGAAAAAGGCAAAATAGTGTATAATAAATAGAATGTTTAGAAAAATAGTTCATCCAGGACTCACGATGATTAAAAACGAGTTATGCTGTATTTGACCTACAGCTTGGCTATTTTAGCCCCGCTGTCTGTGGGAGGTGGAAGCTGGGAATTGTCCAAACAGTTGTGTCCACTGCCTGTTGTGCAAACTGCCTTGTAGTTTCCCACTACTTTGGACTAGAAATGGCGAACAGGCTTTAAGAAGGGTCCTGCTCACTTCTGGAGCAGAATGGGGATTAAGCTGCGCGCGTAGGAAGTGGTGGGGAAAATGAGGATTTACAAAGCTGCAAGAGAAGGTGTGTTTGGGGGGCGGGGAGTGGGTGTCAGCCCCCTCTTTTCCCACGATAATACGAACTAGAGAAATAGGAGTGTGACAGTACGATAGGGAGGAGGCAGTGAATCACTTCTTGTTTTATCTCTATATTATATCAAAGTGGTTGTTTTACAGGAAAGTGCTTTAACAAAGATCACTGAAGAGATACAGGGGATCACTTATGCACTGACACTTTTTTTGTTATTGCGACAAGGCCGTTCACTGCCGGAATGTAACCAGTGTCGTCGCAAATTCATGGATGCAGCTCAGTTAAAGAAACATCTAAGAACGCATACAGGTAATATTGTCCATCACAGTCTGTTTTGGTGTGTTTTCTTGAAGTAATACAGACAAAACAGCGTTAAGCAGCTGACGCTCGTCTCCCTGGGGTGAACGTCTGCTCTGCTCGCACAGAGTGATGCCGGTATCGCCGATGAAGGGATCGGGCACCAAGAACGCAGGAGCACAAAAAAGTTCGTATTACAACAGCGCAGAAGCAGGGCCTATGACAGGAAGAGCTGCTTTCTTTTCCCCTTTTTTATAAAACCTACTGCATAAAATGCCAGTTAGCTCTGCCCTGATAGAAACCAGGACTGGGAATAATTCAGGAATATCAGGACAGCAGCATCCAGCTTGTATGGGGCTTGAAAGGAGCTAAGCAGTAACAGGAGGTGTATGTCCTGCATGAGTTGGGCACCTCTGTGAGGGATGGGTGCTTATGGAAACTGCTGCTGTCTAGAAAAATACTTCCATTTACCTTTTTACTGCGCTGTAATAAACCAGATGTTGGCAGGAGATTGGCTGGGAGGATGACTTAATGCAGGTGCGTCAGAGGGTGTGTTAAGAGATTTAGAGGGCAAGATCAGACTTGAATGGCAGGGTAACAGAGATAAGAATGATCTACCCTCTCATGTTAACAACGCATAAGCTGCTTAAAGTAGTTTTCCTTGAAGCCTAAGTTCGAAAGATGATGTGTGAGTAATTTTTTCTTTTAAAATAGCTATAAACAGTGGTGATTGTTGCTTCTTAAATCAGATTATTTTGAAGCATGTTGCCCGTGGTTGTAATAAAGTATGCAAGAGATTGAGTTATCTCACGAATTTCCTTCTTTCTCAGTGAAAATAACTAAGCTGTAAATTTTCTGGGATATGATGAGCTCAGAACTAGATGACTAGAGGTCCCTTCTGACAAGTGTTTCTTGTTGTCTCATACTTCACCCCTGTCCTCCAAAGCCATATGAAAGCCACCAAGTGTTGCAGTTCTCTACTAAATGTGAAGCTTCTTTGGGAACCGGCTGCTGCCCCATCCCCAGTTTAATATGCTTAATGGGGTAAATAACCACAGTGGGGCTCCGGATTCACCTATCTGGTGTCTTACAGGTGCAAGAAGGACATGTTACGGCCTAAATCAGGGTTCACTTTGGTTGGGTGGAGTCTGTTTTCTGTTTCATGTGCACTTTTTTGTTATTTGATTTGGCTCCTCTTGCTTCTCCTCAGTTAGACACCAGAAGTCCAAATGCGGTAAAAAGACCCAAACCCACCATTAATTCAACCCACCATAATTTAATTTTTCCCTGACTGGTGTTCCCAGGATATTGTAGCCCTAGGGTGGAGCCTTACAGGAAGAAAACCGACTTGTTAAGATAATGGATCCACTTTTCAGGCTTGAAAATACGGGCTTACTCACCTGCAGGGTGCGGCGCGTGAGCCCGGAGTGAATGCCTGCTAGTGCAGGGTCAGCCATTGTCAAACGTGTCTGTCCGTGTGGAACACCTGCCTCTGTGCGTTAGGTACTGGGTTTGTTGCTCTGAAGGCTGGCATCACCTAATTCTCTCCCTTTAAAGGGGAGAAACATCAGAGATGAACCTTAAAAATGCTTGACCCTCATTTAGCTGGGGAGTTCATTCAGCTGGAGATAGCTGTGCCGACCCACGGGAGAAGCGGGAGGTATATGGTACACACTTAATACTGTCTGTGCTAAAACCTAAAATGCTTTTTAATATATTGGTGGGAAGTGCTGTATAAAAAGTGCTGTCAAATGTCTCTTTGATAGGTGAGAAGCCCTTCACTTGTGAAATTTGTGGCAAATCATTCACAGCTAAAAGTTCTCTTCAGACTCACATTAGAATTCACAGGTAGAGTATGACTAATTTTCATTGCATTCCTGAAAAACGTGACTTCTAACCGGATACCGGTATGCATTGCTTGTTCAGTCGCAGAATGGTCGGGGCTCGTTTGCATTTTGGGTGGATGGTTAAAGACTGGCACTTTTGTTTCACCTATTTAAAGAATTAATTGGTAGTGGAAGGTACTGCACTGTTAAATACTAGTGTGCCAAGGCACCGTCAGCCACTGCTTCTGTGTATTGTGTCTGTTTAACGGCACTATACTTTCTGCTGTATTATTTTGCTGGAAATTTTACTGTGAATTTTTGTTTGACAGCAGAGCAGTAGCTGTGGTGTAACAAGGTGAGCAGAGCACTGTCCTGTTTCCCCGTAGTTGTCATGGTTTAACTC